GACAAGCAACCTTAAAATACACAATTCAATTGAAACCCCTTTCTTTGTCTTATTTTTTATGTGGTACGTGCAAAGTTCACAAATTTTTCCGACGGAAGTTGTTTTTTTATGAGAATAATGTACTAGTAAATATACGTGTATATTGACCATAATTACAAGACAAATATAGAAATTATAGGAGAATCTATGTGAGCCAACAATGTTACAACTGATTTGGTCCTTTGATAGTCAAATATTATGCATTTAAGCCTACACGATCATAGGAATTATTTCCTTTAACATGGTAACTTTTGTCAAAATGGTAGAGCAAACATCAAAGTTACAAGTCAATAGCCCAACAAGTATCTTTTCAAGCATTTATGAAACTCTTCAAGACTTAGAATTGCATGGTTTTGATGTTTGGGCCACATAGAATCATCTCACTAAGTTGCAGTTAGGCAAGAATTGCTTCAAGAAGCTCTGAAAGAATTTGAACGTTAAATTATAGAATGCACTAATGAGTAAACTAAAATCATGACAGAGTTTGCTCAACTTGTTATTGAGGTGATAGAAGAAATGAAGAGAAAGATGATTTCACTTATAGGGGAAATCGATTCAAACATTATTGAACTAAATCAAAAGTCGATGTTTATAGCCATAATATTCAGAATGTTCAACTTGATTTTATTCATTAATTTATTTTAATGAAAAATTCCGTTTTTGTTTTAATACTATTTTAGAAAACATGATTTATCTCATAAAAACTCTTTTTTTATTTAACTACCTACCTTATCTTGTATTTTATTAAAGTGAGATAATTATTTAAGAATTTTTCTAGCAACTATCTCTTCTTAATCAGTATTTACAAATCCTTTTATTAATTGTTTTTATTTAGATAAATATCCTTTATATTTTTGACAAATCTATATAACTTATTTTGCTATTTTATCTTTTTATTTTATTTAATTAAAATCCCTCACCTTTTAGGATTTATATTCTAATTGTTTTATTATTCTTTAAAATCTCTTTTAATTACTTTCCTAACAAATCTAGCCTTAATTAAGAGTTGCATTCATTCTTGTATTAGGATTTATCATATAGTTTGGTTACTATAATCATTAGGATTGCATTAAATCAATCACATGCATTATTGTATTTGATTATTTTTCATGAGTTTATTTTTATCGAACTCCTTATTATCAAGGAACACGTTCATGAAGAGTAAAGGGCAACCAAGACGAAATTACGGTAGAAAAAACGCAAAGCCTCACATCACCACCATTAACGTGAAACCTTGGTTTTCTATTCAAGAGATTTTGTTCAGTTCTCCAACCATCCTTCAAAACCTACGTCACCTTAGATTTCATTCCACATTCACTAGCAAACACACACCAAAAACCCTTATTACAATCGCCACAAAACAGAAAAACACGATTCTTGAGAAAGAAACCACGATTCTTGAGTGTTTCGGCCATATATTCGCACTAACAACAGAAAAACACGATCTAAGCCTTCATACGGCCCACGAGGACGTATAACACCCTTGGACATTCACTTTCACTAAAGTTCCAACCCTATCTAATTCCAAACTGCGAGTTTCTTTTACTTTCTCTCTCTAAAACAAGTCTTGTTAATACAAGGAAGTTTTTCTTTTCTTTTCTTTTCTTTGTTTTAAATTCATTGTTAGGAATCATTCATATGCCAAGCATGAAACCTGATTTTCAAGAACATTAAATAACATCTTACATGTTGTTATTACGAAAACTCGCAACAATCAAAGATACTCAGTTGACCTCAACGGGACTGGATAGGATGTGCACGTAATTATAAATAATCAGTTAGGAATAGATTGGAGAACCCACAATATGGGAACAAAAGAGGTTTTTAAAGATGTTTGGCAAGTTAAAATCAAGCCTATGTCCTCTATTATCATATTGCTTTGTCTTTGCTCTACAATCTTATTGCTTTGTAATTTCTCTACAATCAGACTGATTACAAAGAGGAAAAATGATGAACAAAGATGAACTCTCTACGAAGGTAGCTTACATGAATGAGCAAAAAGAGAGGGTCCCCTCCTTTGGGTAAAAAATCAATTTATATATACGTTGTCAACGTAGAAAACTTGTAAGTGAAGTCTAACTTGTTGCAAGCCTTTAATTTGTGGAAAATGTTTAACTTGTAAATGAGGATTAACTCAAGGTAGTCTGACACATGGCGTAGATCTGACTGTTGAACAAATCCTTGGAGCACGTGGCGTAAATCCATGCTTATTGGATTTCCCGCACAACTATAACCCCATAACTTTTGGAGTTCGAGGTCAGACTTCAAAAATTACAAGCTTCAGAAATGATGAGCTCTAGAAACGACGAGCTGACGATGTGTCATTCATGCACTCGAGATGTCATGCTCTAGTCGATGAGTTACAGCGACGAGGTCACACTCTAGTCGATGAGTTACAACGATGAGGTCACACTCTAGTCGACAAGTTACAGGGATGAGGTCGTGCTCTGGTCGACAAGTTATGACAACGAGGTCACGCTCTAGTCAATGAGTTATGGCGACGAGGTCGCGCTCTGGTCAATGCGTTATGGCGACGAGGTCACACTCTAGTCAACACATTATGGCGACGAGGTTGCGTTCTGGTCGATGAGCTCGCTCTTTGGTTGACGAGGTCGCGCTATAGTCAACGAGTTTTGGCAACGAGGTTGTGCTCTAGTCGACGAGCTTTGGCGACGAGGTTATGCTTTAGTCGACGAGCTTTGGCGATGAGGTTATGCTTTAGTTGACGAGCTTTCGTGACGAGGTCATGCTTTAGTCGACGAGCTATGACAACGAGGTTGCATAGTCGATGATCTTTGGCAATGAGGTCATGCTCTAGTCGAAGAGCTTTGGCGACAAGGTTGCTTTCTAGCCGATAAGCTCTAGCAACAAGGTCGTGCTCTAGTCAATGAGCTATGACGATGAGGTCGCGCTCTAGTGGACAAGCTTTGCTGATAAGGTCACTCTTTAGTCGAGGAGCTTTAGCGACGAGGTCATGCTCTAGTTGACAAGCTATGACAACGTGCTTTAGTCGACGAGCTCTAGCAACAAGGTCGTGCTCTAGTTGACAAGCTACAACAATGAGGTTGCGCTCTATTCAACGAGCTTTGGCGACAAGGTTGTGCTTTAGTCGACAAGCTACAGCGACGAGGTCGCACTCTTGTTTACGAGCTACAACGACAAGGTCCTGCTCACCTGGAACATGCTTTAGTATGTTGACAATAACTTGGGCTAAAGACCTCAAATTTGGATGATTCTTGAAAATTGGAAAGCTAACTTGAAGGGATACAATTCTTATGTTTACTACTTCACCAGATTCAGAGTCTATCATGCTTGATTTTCCACATCTGGAAATGGCTTTGTTTCTAGAGTCGGATGATGTTCCCGCTCCCTACTAAGTCGTCACCAAAACGATTAATGGGTGAGTCAGCTTGGCCCTCTGATCAACCTCCTGGTGGTTGGGCTTAGTTTTCTCGGTGAGGTTAGTGGCACTCTTGGACTTGGTAAGCGTCATGGTTGTGGAATGTGGTTGTTGAGTAATGACTGGTAAGGGGGGAGCCCTCCTTCTAACGCCAAAATGTTGTTATGAAAACTCGCAACAACTAAAGATACCCAATCGACCTTGGCAGGACTAGATATGATGTGCGTATGATTTATAATGATTAGCTAGGAATTGATTGGGAAACCTACAATATGAGAACAAAAGAGACTTTTAAAGAGGTTCGGCAAATTAAAATCAAGTCTACGTTATCTGTTATCTTATTGCTTTGTATTTGCTTTACAATCAGACTGATTACAAAAAGGAAAAATGATGAAGAAAGATGAATTCTCTGCCAAGGCAGCTTACATGAATGAGCAAAAAGAAAGAGTCCACCCTTTCTGGTAAAAAATCGGTTTATGTATGATGTCAACATAGCAAACTTTTAAGTGAAGTTTAACTTGTTGCAAACCTTTAACTTGTGAACAATGTTTAACTTGAAAACAACACTTAAATTGTAAATAAAGATTAGCCAAAGGTAGGTTTGAACAAATCCTTAGAACATGTGACATAAATCCATGCTTATTGGATTTCCTGCACAAAGCATCTTCTTTATTTGTTTCATGCATTGGCTTGGATATTATTCATGTTTTGAAGTTTTCTATGCATGTTTGATTGCTCTTTGGGAAAGAATTTTGTGTTCAAAACCCTTAGATGTCTTGGAGTTTCCAAAGAGCTATTTCATAATTGATTTTAAAGCCGAAATCACAGGCGTACAACCTCTTATGTCTGGTCGTCAAACGTAATTCAAGCAGTTTCTTGTGTCTACAGATTTTCAAGGAAAATTAAGCTCTTTTTACTTAACTGTTTTAGTATACATCTTTTTTGAGGTTGTAGCTTAAAATCACCATTTTGTAACTTATTGAATTAACTTGGCTATCACACCAAAATCTTTTCCAAATTCGCCCTCGGTTTCCCTTTTTATTATTATTGACTATGCAAGTTTGCAACGGGATTCTTTCTTGAGCCAACCTTTGGGGAATGATCGCATATCGACTCTCCAAGACTTATCGGAATCCATGGTAGGGAAAGAAAAAAAGGAAATATTAATTTTCTTCCTTGAGCTAACCTCTGGGTGAAGACCCCGAGTTGACTCTCCAAGACTAATCAAAACCCATGGTACCGAAATAAAAAAAAAAATACAAAGGAATAAAATTGAAAAAAAAAAAAATTGAGAGTTCTTCTGGCCTTTTTTTTTTTTTTTTTAAATTTTTTTTGTAATTTTAATTTTATTTATAAAAGATATCATTTAAATGTTTAATATTACTATTTTACCCTTATTATAAAATTAAATCTAACTCAAAATAATTATTTATTATCTGTTATTTAAAAGATTTGTATGCTTTGTGACATTATTGTAGACTTAAAAAAAAATGTATACCTAAACCGTTGTTACCTAACATTACAGTTGAGGAAAAAGAGAATAATATAATCATAATTAATCGAAAGACAGGTTAAGACTTGGGTCACCATTGGCAACTAACTTTCCTGGAAATATTCGGACTTTCCATTTCCAACCTTCTTCAAAAGCTCAAAAGCCCTTGACACACAAATCAAAATCAAAATTAGAAAAAGAAATGGAGAATTCAACCCAAGAATCCCATCTCAGATCCGACAACTCTGTCACCTATGACTCCCCTTACCCTCTCTACGCTATGGCTTTCTCTTCCACTGCCTCTCGTCACTTCCAACGCATCGCCGTCGGTAGTTTCATTGAAGACTACACCAACCGAGTCGACGTCGTTTCATTTGACCCCGAAACCCTCTCCATCAAAACCCACCCCTCTCTCTCCTTTGACCACCCTTATCCTCCCACCAAGCTCATGTTCCAGCCCAATTCCGCCATCAAATCCTCCGATCTTCTCGCCTCCTCTGGCGACTTCCTCCGCCTCTGGGAAGTCCGCGACTCTTCGATCGAGCCCGTTACTGTACTCAACAACAGCAAGAGCAGCGAATTCTGCGCCCCTTTGACCTCGTTCGATTGGAACGAGATTGAGCCCAAGAGATTGGGAACTTGTAGCATTGATACTACTTGTACGGTTTGGGATATTGAAAAGGGCGCTGTTGAAACTCAACTAATTGCTCATGATAAAGAGGTTTATGATATCTGCTGGGGCGAAGCAAGGGTTTTCGCTTCGGTTTCGGCTGATGGGTCAGTTAGAATATTTGATTTGAGAGACAAAGAACATTCAACGATAATTTATGAGAGTCCAACACCGGATACTCCATTGTTAAGACTCTCTTGGAATAAGCAGGATTTGAGGTACATGGCAACTATTTTGATGGATAGCAATAAGGTTGTGATTTTGGATATTAGATCTCCAACTATGCCCGTGGCGGAGCTGGAGAGGCATCGAGCGAGCGTTAATGCAATTTCATGGGCGCCGCAGAGTTGCAGGCATATATGTTCTGTTGGGGATGACACACAGGCTCTCATTTGGGAGCTGCCGCCGGTGGCTGGACCCAATGGGATTGATCCCATGTCTATGTACTCGGCGGGCTATGAGATAAATCAGCTCCAGTGGTCTGCTGCTCAGCCTGATTGGATTGGCATTGCTTTCTCTAATAAAATGCAGCTTTTGAAAGTTTGAGGTGAGGATTTTTTTAAAGTTTGCTAAATGGTTGAGATTTAAATTTTCTGGTAGGAAGTAGGATTTACTTAGCTTTTGAAATGATGTGCTTTTTGGTGTATTATTGAAGAATTGAATTAAATACAGCATCTTTCGGACACCTTTGCATTACTTATCCGAAATAAAAGAATGAACTTGTTATTAAGTTAAAAATAGTGGACCTGTAATGTTTTTATTGGTAAATTTAACCATACGTTATTTGATCAGCCTCACCTTGAACATGACAATATCAAGGGTTTGCATAATATTAAGTAGTCATGGCCTGTAATGGTTTTTCTCTGAAGTCGGAATGATGTATTGATGGAAGGATTTGAGAAGTCCCCTCTTGTTCTTTATTTCTTGCAATTGTTCTCTTTCCTCTTTGGCTTGAAGAGTTTGTAATTTGGGTCAAAGTGCTGTCAAGGAGAAAGTCTATAGTGCATCATGTGTAACGCATCATATGCATCTATTTAACCATCTACATGTCATCTAACTTAAGGATTAAAATTCTTGAGCTCTGTGTTTTGAAACTTGAAATGATTGAAGAAATCAGGGAGTGTTGTTCTAAAATTTGAAATAAAGTAAATATACGTTACATCTCTTGATTTTTCAGATTCAGCATATTATCAAGATGTAGTGCCCTTGTTGTACCCTGGACTTCTTCACGGTCAAGCCTTTGATACTAGGTAGCATATAACCCATAGCTTGGCTTACAGTTTCATAACAATAGTTCATTTTATTTTATCCTTTTGTAGAACGAATAGGCACCAAGATGTTTATATGCTGTGTTTATAAGTCCTGCGGTAATAATTATGGTTAAGTTACTGTAATTAATAAGCTTATGCAAAACCGACTTTGGTTATCTTTTTCCTATCTTGGCCAAATTAAATGTATGTCTTGTAGCAATGTATTGATTGTAAAATTTGTTTGCATCAGTTGTATTGAACAAGTTTTGTTTTGTTTTCCTTTATGCAGACTCCCTGGTTTGGCTTGGTGAGAAAGAAGTAAAACCTATCTACTGTATTGTAGGATTTATCTTTTACTTAGATGAGCAGTTTGCCATGCTGGAAATCATCCTCCAATCATCAGCGTGGGATGATTTTATATTTTTATTAGGTCTGCTCTGTAACATTGTGTTGTGAGCAATTGTTTACAATGTTTACTGATTTACTGTAAGTGTAGATTTTTGTACCTTTAGAACCTTACTTTTATGAAGTAGCAATTAGTTGTGTTCAATATCTGCTCTGGTCCCATGTGACTTCTTTGGCTCTCTTTCGCTGTCCCTTCCCTTTGCCAACCCCATGTTGCGTTGTGTTTTTCTGTTGCCTTTGCACTTGTGATGTAGGAACTCTGTTTTTGGTGGACTGTCCGCCCTTTAGAATATGGGAGATTATCGTTTTGGCAGTCGGGTCTGAACGTTTATTTGATTATGGTTGCATAGTAATAGATAAGGCATATGAGTTAACCTCGAATTTGTAAACTGCTTCCCATATGAAATTTTGATTGTAGATTGGTGTTGAGCCTTGCAGCTGCAGTTCATTGTTTTTAATCCCTAGAAAATTATGGGGCATCAGTTTAGCATATTACTCTTTGTTTTGTTTTCTACATGTCATTTGGAAAAAGGAAAAAAAAGGGAAGTCAGATGACCCAAAAATTTAAAGCTTTGTAATTTTTATCACAAGGCAATTTTATTGCCGTGAAGAACTTTGTGTGAGCACTTGAGGAAGCTTTGGCCAACCAGTCTAACCAGATATCTACTGTTCTTTTGGCTTTTTTGCTGCATTACAACTAATTTTTCTTTTAGCAATAAAATACAAAGTGATCCCATTACGAAGTATTACCAAATCAAATACTAGTCCTTGGACAAATTCGTTAATTCAATGCAAACTAGGAATGTCAAAACCCCAGATCGTGAGTGGTGAATACTGAATAGTGAGGTCGGATCTTGAAAAAATCCTTGGTCAATTAAATTTATTCTGAGTATAAAATTCCCAAAAGAAAGAGAATTAAAGCATAAAATTTAAATGACATTCCCATACAGTAATGAAATGTAATATATGCATTTATATTTTGATATCAACACCTAAAAACCAAAATTGAATGTGTGGCAGTGGGTCATGTTGTAACGGTTTTGTGTGGTATCGAATCATATCGTGTCAAAAAAATTTTAGTGAAGTGATTTTTTGTTTCCAACTACTTTTTCAGTATCTCTCATTACTAAAGACATTTCTTTTATATTTTAAAGCATCCCTTTAAACCTTATTTAATACCGAAAATACTTCAATGAGCTTAATTTTCTTTTATGTTTGACAAAGATTTTGGTTTTGATTCAAGATATATATGTGAGAATGTGAATTTTGTTTCTTCATTAAACTTAAAATCTATTTTTCAATCCAACGGAAAAAATAGATTAAGACCAAAACATAGAATTATTTTAAATGTAAGGCACAATAGAGCATGGGTGTATTTAGAATTTATATTGTCTTTTCTAGTAATTTTTTTAAAGCTAAAATTATCAAAACAAACAAATATTTTAAAAAGGCCATATTGATAATTTTGATGTGGTCTAAAAATCACTTCCATTTTCTTAGATAAACTTGTTTGCCTATTAAGTCTAAATATAAAAATCCGAAACAAAAAGTTATTTTATTGGGTTATTACCCAAACCGGATTTTTTAAGAGCTTCAACTAATTATTATTTTTTAGTGAAACTTTTTTTAATTAAACAATGAATATAATATGATTGAGCTCTTATAAATAGAATATGAAACTATACAACTAAACTCATAAATATCGAAATGTATATAAACTTCATATCCGTATAATCCTACTAATTGTCATTAATTTTTTTTCTTATAAATAATAAACTAATATTTTCTTATTTCTTTGCTTTGAAATTGACAGTTGGGTGCATGCAGTTTCTGTGTTATTATGTTGTTTATTTTTTGTCCACCTTTTAATATATAAATGATTAATATTCTTATTTTATTTTTTTTTTATGAATTGTAACTGAAAATTCCTTTAATTCATAATTTGAACACAACTGTATAATTCTATCATTAATTTTAATATTATGAGATTAGATTTTTTTATTTTTTTAATTACTAAGTAATTTTTATTTTTAGTACTACAAGTGTCTTACAATTTTATTCTCAGTTTTGTTACTTTAGGTTTCAAATCTAAAATGCATATGTTGAGTATAGTCCTATTAGTTCTATTTGAATACTCAGCTATTTTCACACGAGAACAATTTGAGGTTTTAGGTCATAATAATAATAATAATAATAATAAATTATTTATTTTATAATAATCGAAAGTCTTGTATTAATGGAATAAATTAATTATTTAAAAGCACAATTGCTTATAATTGGAAACATTAACAAAATCATCCATTCCCAAATTGTGAAGCATGGGAACAGACAATGTTTCAGTTTAATATAAATTTTGGATAAGAAAGGTGTCAATAAATCAACTCAATAGCAGGAATTTTAAATTTGTTGTGGTGTTATTGTAAAATCTTAGTAGCAATTTTATCAATTCCATCAATGGCAAAGAATCAATAATCTAATCATATTTCTATGCCCTAAAATTGCATAATCTTAAATCTCAAGATATGAAACTTTGATGCATTTTCACTATTTATAAAAAAACAATAAAACATACATGAATCCACAAGTAATCTGTTAATGGAGATTTCAGAATAAGGCAGTATATCTCTTTGTTTTTCCCATTTTGTAAGTCGTTTGTTTTCTTCTGATGGAAAAGAAAAATGTTATGCGTACTTGGAACACAGAGAGGACCCCCTTTATATACGACAATTATTTATTAACTCCCAAAATACAGTTATTTAATTAACTGCAGTGACCTTTCCATCAAAGGTAAATGATCATCATGCCCTTTAGTTAATTTAATTATTTAAAAAACAACCATAGGATAAAATTAATACATGGACCACCTTATGTGAAATATAAAATATTTCTAACATTCTCCCACTTGGTCCATGTAAAAGTATATAATTTTATAGTTTAGAAATAATACATAATGTGTACACAATAATAATTAGCCAAAGGCCATTTCTTAAAATGGTCAAAATACAAACATTATTGAGCAAGAACCCATAAGGATCATGGCAGTCGTATGTCATTGAATCAACACGGTCCCTTTCCATGTATCACGTTACAAATTCTATACTCAGAACAATCTATAATGATTCTTAATGGTCCAACAATAATGTCCTTATCAAGGACAAATTCTATCATCTTTATCATTCATGTATACCAAACAACATACTATAAAGAAACACACAACAGAATAATTTATATGAATCAGAAACAACACATCAAGAGCTCAGAGTGTCTAAAACGTGAGGAGCGTAATGTAAATCATATACAACACATCATAAATCAGTCATGATGGGCAATAATACCCATCCTCTCAACGTGCTCACTATAGGTCTTAGGTGACAGCCCTTTAGTCAGTGGATCCGCTATCATAAAATTTACGCTAATATGCTCAATAGTCACTCTCTGTTTCTGAACTTCTTCTTTAACAGCCAAATATTTCAATTCTATATGTTTAGCACCCTTTGAATATTTGTCGTTTTTAGAGAAGAAAACTGTTACGGCATTATCACAATAAATTTTTAGCGGTCTGGCAATACTGTCAACAATCCCAAGCCCTGAAATAAAATTTCGCAGCCATAATCCTTTGAACTATGGCCTCAAAGCATGCCACAAATTCAACCTCCATAGTGGAAGCAGCCATGATAGACTGTTTCGCACTTTTCCACGAAATTGCTCCTCCAGCTAACATAAATATGTACCCAAATGTGGATTTCCTCATGTCTACACAACCAGCAAAATCTGAATCTGAATATCCAATTACCTCAAGATAATCAGATCTCCTATAAGTAAGCATATGATCCTTCGTCCCTTGCAAATATCTCAACACTTTTTTTACAACTCGCCAATGATCCATTCCAAGATTACTCTGATATATGCCCAGTAAGCCGACTGAAAAACTAATGTCTGGTCTGGTACATGTCTAAGCATACATTAAACTTCCAACAACAAATGCATAAGTAATATGCTCCATTTTCCTACGTTCCAATTCAATCTGTGGGCATTGCTTAAGGCTCAACTTATCACTTTCTGAATTAGAACTAGACTCATAGAGCACTTATCCATATTGTATCTCTCCAGAACTTTGTTGATATAAGCTTCTTGAGATAATCCCAACAATCTTTGTGATCTATCACGAATAATTTCAATTCCAATCACATGTGATGCCTCACCCATATCCTTCATCTCAAAGTTCTTAGAGAAAAACTTCTTGGTTTCATACATCATACCAAGACTATTAGTAGCAAGCAAGATGTCATCAACATATAGAACTAGAATTACAAATGCGGTCTCACTGACCTTCAGATATATACACTGATCAACAGTGTTTTCCTTAAATCTAATAGTGGTAATGGTATTATGAAACTTGAGGTGCCACTGCCTAGAAGCTTGTTTCAGTCCATATATTGATCTCTTTAATTTACACACCATGTGTTCCTTCCCTTCAATTGGAAAACCATTAGGTTGTTCCATGTACACTTCTTCTTCTAAATTCCCATTCAGAAAAGCAATTTTCACATCCATTTGATGAAGCTACAGATCATAATGGGCTACCATCGCCATAACAATTCTAAAAGAGTTCTTTGAGGAAACTGGCGAAAAGGTCTCGTTGTAATCAACACCATCTTTTTGAGTAAAACATTTGGCAACAAGTCTGGCCTTATAACGTTCAATATTGCCATTAGAGTCGCACTTGGTCTTAAAGACCCATTTACACCCAATTGTTCTACAACCTTTAGGCAATACTACTAAATCCCAGATTTTATTGTACTCCATTGATTTTAACTCTTCTTTCATGACGTCTAACCACTTTGCAGAATTATCACTTTGAAGAGCTTGTGAAAACAAAATTGGATCTGCTTTCATTCCCAAGTCAAATTCTAACTCTTGAAGATAAACCACATAATCGTTAGTAATGGCAGATCTCCTTTATCTTTGAGATCTTCTTAATGTCACTTCTTGTTGTTCATTTACTACTTCATTGGCTAATCTATTACAGGTTCATTGACAGCTACATTATTAGGAAGTGTTTGCTCAATTATTTGTTGTTCTTGATTGTTATTAGAATGTTAGACAACTACAGGAACCATAACCTCAGTAAAGTCATAGGTGCAGGA